GCATATTGATGATTTGAACAAAATTCAAGCAAAGGAATTTATTGCGGAAGACATTAATTGGTCCGATTTTACTGCTTCTCAAATTACTTCATCAGAAAGTAAAGAAGAAGAAGCAGCATTAAGATTAGAGTTGAAAGGTGGTGATTATGATCGCTATCTTTCTGTTCCTGATTCCATTCGGAATATAAGCGAAAAAGATAATGTAGTGAATCAATTCGAATCAGTACAAATATTAATCGGGCAAAATCCCTCCTATGCTCTAAGTGAAAAAAAAGTTTTCTACGAAACATTGGTCAGAAGCTTGAAACCTTTGATTGAAACTAAAACAAATTCGTAATCATTGTTTAGTTATCATTTTTTAATGATTTATGTAACAGAATGAGTTTCTAATAAAAATATTTATAAATCGAATAATTCTTTATATTGTCACTCATGTATTAAGGTTTTTTTCTCCATGATAAATTAATGAATCAAGAGATTCAACTGTAAAATTTATATAAATTAATAATGATTCAATAATGATTATAAAAATAATGAACATTTTATTTTCCAATATTTTAATGATATTTGTAACAAAAGTACAGAAAGAATTGAAAATTATATCAATTTCAGAGCAATTCAAGTTATTTAGGTAACTTTGCCGCTAAGAAATTTACTACAATGAATGAATAAAATATTAATTATTTTGTCAGTGTACTAACGCTTCTAAAAAAATTTTAATGTACTCAAAAAACTTACTTTGGAGCGAGCACGCATCTTTCTTCTTTTACGTTTGAGACGTCTAGTTCTCTTTTTCTTCCACTTTGCTCTCATTTTGTTCAAGTGACTGTAATTTATATACAGAAATTAATTGATCTGTACAAAGAAAAAATATACAATTTATAATTTGGACGGATGGATTTTTTTACCTACGTGAATGGATATTAGACTGAGAGTAAGAAAAAATAAATTAGATTTAAAAATGTTTTATAGTGATCTGATTGCAGATCAATATTATCATTGGTCTATATCGAATGATATACCGATACCTATATATTATGGGGATTGCTATCGACACCGCATGAGCATCTCAAATTTTCTTTCAGAAGATATTTGAAATTTTTCTAACATTGAGAGAAAATAACTTGGCAACCATCTATTATAATTCGACAATTTTTTATTTTATTTTGAATCTACTGAACTTGTAGAATTAGCAAGATCGAATTTGGTTGGGTTGTTAATGAGTTACCTTGATTCAAAGTCTTAGAAAATATAAAATATCTATAAAATATAAATACAAAAAACATAAGTAAAACTTTGAGTGAAAATATCTTAGCAACCATTTAATCAAATTCAATGAATTTTTTTTATTTTTATTTTACATTTCTGTAGAAGTAAAATAAAAAAATTTTTATCGAATTTGGTTTGGTAGTTGTCAAATTATCTTTATTCAAGTTTTACAAAGCTTAAAATATTTATTAAAATAATAGCTGTGATAAAATTTTGTAAAACTTTGAGTAAAGATAACTTAGCAACTATTTAATCAAATTCAATAAAATTTTTTTTATTTTTATTTTACAGAAATATAGAATAAAAATAAAAAAAATTCATTAAATTTAATTAAATATTTGTTAAGTTTTTTTTTATATCAAGTTTTATTTAAGTTTTTTATATATATAAGTGTTTTAAATTTTTTAAAAAAATCTAGTAATCTTAGTATTGTAGTTAAGTTGCTAGACTGCTATATAAAAAATCTGAGATTCAAATTTTACTATTAATAAATTTGAATAATTATTTAGATTTTTGTATTTAACTTTTAGTAAATCTTGTTTGCTTTTAAGTATTATAATCTTGTAAATTAAGATATACTAATATTATAAATATAATATAATATTATACAAATAAATTTTAATATGATTTTAAGTAGAAGATCTGTATAGTAGAAATCTTGAGTTAGGAAAATAATATAGTTTTTGATAGTTAAATTATCAAATATTTGATTTAAAAAAAAATTATTATTTAAAAAATATAAATCAAATCAAATACAAGTAAATATATTCTATAAGAAAAAAATTATTATAATCAGAAAATTTATATTAGTAATTCAGCATTATTAATCTAACTTTGTAGTTTATTAGATTTGAAAGAATCTGACTTGTAAAATATTTAGAAAAATTAGAAAATATATATATATATTTTTTTTATAACTTAGATAATCTTGCTCATCATTTTATTAAGAAAAAACTTATATAAACTATAAAGTAAATTACTATATAAACTATACTAAAATACTCTTCTTTAATTATTCTAAACTCACTTAGCTATGTTTTGATACTCAGATATGATCTGCTATAACAATATTTTCTCTCATAGAAATATTAAGCTGTATATAGCTTACTAGTTACTAATCACTAAGAGGTTACTACTAGTCTATATCAAGATCTACTATTTTGTTTTAAATTTTAAACATCTTTTTTTTATACTAAAATAAACCTATTAATCAATTTTTTTACTTGTTTCCTTCTAAATATTTGTTTCTTTTTCTTTTTATATTTTTTTAAATATATCTGTAGATGTAATTTTTTTTTTATTTAGCTTTATACTTTTTCTTTTTCATTTTTTTTTTTTATCTTTTCCTAAAATATTATTCTTCTTTTCTTATTCAGCTATTATCTTATAATAAAACTTCTATAATTATTCATAGAAACAATTTCAAAACTACTCTATAAACTTAACTAAAATCAAATTTGTTTTTCTTTTAGAGCTAGTCATTTTTATAATTTCTCTTTATTGTTTAACATTCATAAATTCTCTTAGTAGTAATCTTCTATTATCAAAATTTGTATTCTGTTATTTTCTGAAGATTGTTTTTTTGAGTAAATTAGTATTTAAAGAGATATCATACTATAATAAGACTTTGAGTCCTATTAGTTATATTACTTTTTCTTTCAGATTTTTCTAAATCTTTTGATATATTTCATATTCTGTAATATAATACAAGGTTTTATCATTTTAGAAGCATGTGATGCATCTTTGATTTTTGTATAGTTTTGAATTTCTTTAGAAATATATATCTTTTGTAGATAGTATATTATTTATATATTTTATTCAAAATATCAGTACTTTGCTCTTTTTTATGCTTATATATTTTTTGTCTTGTAGCTTCTTTAGAACCTATCACATATTACTTCAAATTAGTTTGTCATTTCTAGTATCTTCATAATTTTGCTTTAAGATATCTACTATTTCACTTAGTTTTAACTATTCTGTTTCATAGTATACTGCAGAAGTAATGTTTATGAAAGTTTTCAATAAGCTATCTATACTTTAATTTTTCTATTTAAGAATATAATTAATATCTGCTGATCTAGCTCTAGTATACTTAGAGTACTAATTAAGCTTAGATCTCTTTTTATGAGTTTATCTGCTAAGTTGTTACCAATATCACTACTATGTTTTTTAATTTTATAAAGTCTCAGATTTAAACTTCTTACTTTATAACAACTTCTTATTTGGCTTAGCAAGCTTCTATTTTTGATTTTAAAATAATCTTTCAGCTTATTGATAATGTTATATTTTCAATAGCTTCTATTGTAGCTTTGCTATCTGTAAATATATAAATTTAGGTTTCTGTAAGTGTTACTAGTAAAACAGTTCAAATTGCATCTAATTCAGCATGAGTTGAAGAGAGCTAATCTTCTATACTATTACTAAAACTAATATTATTATCTAATCTATCTTTAGTTTTCACTATTCATCTGATCTCTATTTTATTTTTTTTTTTCCTCTTTTATAACTATTACTTTGTTTGTATAAAACTCTACTATTTCTCTTCTTTTTAGTTTACTATCTACTGTAATTCTATTAAGTTTTCTTTGATCTCATAATTTCTTATACTTTCTTCTATAATTGTATTCTTAAGAGTTACTGCTATAATTTTTACTCTAACTTTTTGCACTATTCTAGAAATATCTACTAAATTCCTCTTTTCTATATATGCTGAGATAGATGCTCTTAGAATAATATTTTTACTTTCTTTAGTTATATTTACTATTTGGTACTATTTGTTAAGTTTTACATTAATTTCACAAGTACTATTATTAGAATTTTTTCTAATATATCTTTTGTATCTAATAAAGATTTCACATTTAGATCTCTGTTCTAATTCTTTTTTCTAATATTCTGCTACTATGTTTTTCTCTAATTTTTTTATAACTTTGTCTAGTTGCAGTTTATTATTCATTTTGAAAAAGAACTATTCTTTTTTCTTTCTATCTTAAAATATTCTCTTTAGCTTAATTTTTATTATCTTTTTATTTATATTCTTAATTTTAAATATATTTTTTATTTCTCTACTTTTACTTTTTTTAAATACTCTTTGTTCAAGATTCAGGAATCAGCTTGATATATATCTCTTCTTTTGAAGTAATCTTATATGTTTGATTTGCTACTAGGTTAGTATATACTTTCTTAAGCTATCTATTAATTGCTCTAGAATAAAAAGATTCATTCTATTTGTAGTAGTGAAAGACTATATATTCTTCTTTTCTAGTAAACTATAGATTTTTATTTCTATTTCATCTAGCTTATCTGCATTTTCTATAAGTTTGTTGATATAAAGATCTAATTTAGCAAACTCATGCAATGCTTTAAATATCAAGTTATATTTAGATATATTTCTATTGAATTTGTATTTTCTGCTTGTTGGATATTTTAAATTTTTGCTTTGCAGTTATTTTTCTTTTAGTCTTAGTCTTGTAACTATACCTAGTATATCTTTTTTGTTTAGATATATTGTTAGCTCTATAAATTAGTATGTTAACTGATTTTGTTAGATAGATTTAAGTTTAAAAAAGCTAATATGATTATATATAGAGTTTGCTATAGTACTAGCTAATTCTAACTTGTTTTTGATTAAAATCTATATTAGTTTTTAGATTTTGTTACAAATTGATTTTGTTAGAAAACTTGTTTGAAGTCTGTATTCTATATTAGTAATAATATACTATTATTTAGATATAGTAATTAACTAGCAGATATTTTTTTCTATTTTATAGCCTTGTATATTCTACTGACTTCATTTTGTATAATATTTAAACTACACTTTTGGTTGTCTTTACTTGTAATCCAAACTCCTAAGTATCTATATACACTAGTATTTTTTTTGGCAATTGCTTTATTCCTTTTTTTTATCTATTTTAATTATATAATGATCTTGATTTATTTTTTCTTTTTTGTTAATATTAATAACTACTAACTCTAATTTCTTGCTATTGATTTCAATATTATTTAGAGTATAGAATTTATTAGCAATATTTACTATTCTCTATAGCTTTTTTTAGATCTTGCTATCTAGAT